AATTCTTCCCTTCTTGAACACCTCAATCCAATGGACACTTCAGCTGAGATATCTGCCCTCTAGAGTTCCCTCCCAACCTCCAAGCACTGGAAAAAGAGAAGTGACAAGGGTTTCTGCCACCAAGAATAACCATGGCCTTCCTGGATATGCTCGTACTAAACTGTCCATGGGCACCTGCGAGCCCACTGGGCTCTGTGGATGGTCAGCCTGCTCCAGGGCCATCGGCCCTAGCTGTAGGGAAAAAACCCCAAAGACTCTGACTTACTGGGAGCGGTTTAGGAAGGAGGACTTTTGGGAATCAACGTCTACCTGGGAGGAAGGGCTGCAGGGCAGAGGCGTGGGTCAGGGGATTCGGAGGCAGGCTGCAGTCACGCTTCACCTTTTTTGAAAAGTTTCTGATTTCACTGAACCATGAGCTCTGTGCTCCTGGGAGTTTCCCCACTGGGGCTGGGATCGACTTTGGGAATGGAGGGAGGAGAGTGATGGAAGAGAATTCCCCTCTTCCTGTAGGTCTTCATTCCTGACCTTGAGTGACCGACCTCTCTCTTCCCCTGGTCTTTCGCCCCATTCTCAGGCCCACTCTGATGTGCCATTGGGGTAGGAGGCAAGCAGGACAGCTTTGCACTCACAACTGACATGGTGTAATAGCTGTCCCCTGCAGGCGCAGGGGTGGTCACCTGCCTTGGCTGCATGACAAAGTAGTTAGAGATTAGAGTGGGCATGGCCCAGGGGATGAAAAACTGGAGGCCCTGTCTGGCCCCCAGGAGAGTGACCAGTTGGGCCCCTCCCAGAATGACTTTACTGGGGCCCAAACATGGGAGCCAGCCCAGAGTCAGACCCCCTAACTTCACCTTCATAACCTCATTATCCAGAGGTCCAGGCAACACTGAACAAGGCTGAGCCCCTAAATCACACCCAATAGTTTTATCTGACCTTCTCAGCAGACCCTGTACCTTCAGGTAGGGACTGTTATTTTTTAGGGTCAACTGCCAACTCAGATTCCCCATTCTGATTCATCAAACCCAGATGGAGGCCTGCCACTGAAGCAAACGGTAGATGTCAAAGTGTGGTCCCCGGACCAGCAGGATCAGCGTCATTAGAAAGGCAGGTTCTCAGGCTCCATCCCACATCTGCTGAATCAGAAGCTCTGGTAAAGGGGCCCAGCAATCTGTTTCAGCAGACCCTCCAGGTGTCGCTGGTGCTCTCAGAGTTGAGAACAGGACCGGGGGACCCATCTGTCCTCAGCTGAGCCCTTTCTTCACTGGCAAGATAAAGGCCACTTAAGGTACAGTCCAATTTCTCCCTCCTCATGTATGTCAAGCTCTACCTAATGTCACCCTTCCTTTGCTCCTACCGTCTCCCCCACCCACCACCTTCTAAGCCCTCTCTGCAGCCTTCCATCCTATCTGACCCCAGCTGCTCATAAACCATGCTCCATTAATCCCTTTGTTCTTGAACATTCATTTCTTTCTCCTGGTTATTTTCTCTTTGTGTCCAAAGACGCTCTGGTATTTTCCGATTCTAGAAAGATAAAAGCTGCAGGGGACTCTATACAGTTTACAAACTACTAGATTAATCTGCTCTAAGTCTCCTGTCCCCTTACGCAGTTGAGGCACAGAGAAGCAGCTTGCCCAAAGCCATAGGCTGGTTCATGGCAGAGCTGGAGTCAGAAATCAGATTTGCTGTAGGCCGGGTGCGGCGGTTCATGCCTGTAATCCCAGCACTTCAGAAGGCTGAGGCAGGCAGATCATGAGGTCAGGAGTTCAAGACCAGCCTGCCCAACATGGTGAAACTCCGTCTCTACTAAAAATACAAAAAAATTAGCTGGGCACAGGCATGGTGGCATGCACCTGTAATCCCAGCTACTCGGAGAGCTGAGGCAGAAGAGTCACCTGAACCCGGGAGGCAGAGGTTGCAGTGAGCCGAGATCGTGCCATTGCACTCTAGCCTGGGTGATAGTGCAAGAGACTCTCCTCCCCCTTGAAACCCACCCCTCCTCACCTTGCTGCAGCCACTTCTCATCATTTTTGAAAAGCTTATGTTTTCACTGCTGAACCATGGGCCATCACCACTGTGCTCCTGGGCTTCCCCCAGTGGAGCTGGGATCGACTTTGGGGCATGTGGGGCAGAAGGTAACAGAGGAGAATCGCTCTCTTCCTGCCGGTCTTCCTTCCTGACCTCCAGCCACCACTCCCTTTCCCTGGTCTTTCTCCCCATTCTCAGGCCCGCTCTGGTGTGCCAGATGGGCAGGAGGGCAGGGGGCAAGTGGTGCCCCAACACTAGAAGGTGGCTTTGCATCACGGCTGAGGTGCCCCGACCGTCCTCTGCAGGTGCAGGGGCACTCAGGGTCCTGGCCCGTCCTCTCCCTCTCTGACTTCCTTCCCCATCTTCTGTTCTGACTCTTTTTCTTGGGCTTCCTCAGGGACTTGCCATCACTTTTTTTTTGGCAGGGCCTCACTCGGTCGCCCAGACTGGAGCACAGTGGCACTATCAAGTCTCAACTTGCCAGGCTCAAGTGATCCTCCCATCTCAGCCTCCCAAGAAGCTGGGACTACAGGCATGCACCACCACCATGCCTGGCTCATTTTTTTTGTTGTTGCTGTAAAGACAGTCTCCCTATGTTGCCTAGGCTGGTCTCGAACACCTGGGCTTAAGCAATCCTCTCTCCTCGGCCTCCCAAAGTGTTGGGATTACAGGCATGAGCTACCACGCCCGGCCATTTCTTTTTCTCTTCTGTCTTTGCTCACAGACTTATCTGGCTGTCATTTCAACTGGCAATTCTAGGTAGATGGTGCCAATAGGACCTTTATCCCTCAGCTTCCTCAAACTCCAGGTCTACATTTTCAGTAGCTCACATTCCATCATCCAAATCAAACTCTCCTTCCTCCTCCACGTTTCTCAAACAACGGCCACCACATTCTGACTCCTGACATCATCCCATTACCATGGTTTCTCAGATCTTTACCATCCCCTTGCAATTACGGTCACATTTCTGGTTGAAAACTCAACATGTCCCGTGAATTCAAAGTCCCTGTGGATTCAAGTAAAAGGGATCACTAGGACTAGTCTTCAAAATCAATGGCTGCCATTCTGTGCAGGAATCCATTGCCAGGTGGAATGTTCTGGCCTTCCTGTGCTCTGGATTCTAGAGTCTAATGGGAAAGGCAGGCTTTTATAGACTGTCTGACATTTACTGAAGATTGGGAGCTCCTCAGGGAATGACTCAGCTGTCCTTGGACAAAAAGGATAATAAATCAGACAAAATCAGAATCATAGAGAGTCACTAACTCTATGCTAAATGACCCTCCGGGAAGGGTTTCTATGTTTATAATCCTGAGACAAAATGGCTACTTTGTGCAGTGACAGCAATTAATGGATGTTTGAATCAAAGAGAGAAAGAGAGAGAGATAGGGTAGGGGCTAAGGTAAGGGTCAAGGGCAGTGGCCAGCATCGAGGGAGGATTGGGGTCAGGAGGACATGTGTGAAAAGTTGGAAGCCATCCTGCTCCCTACAAGGACAAACGTGTGCTGACCTCATTCTCATCTTCAGCCTCTCTCGCTACTGGGAGCACCCGACCTCTCACTTCTTCACCCCCCACCTTCCAACCCAGGACCACAACCCTTGTAGCCAAGGCCCTCATGGCAGCACCTGCTGAACCCCGGACTGGTTCTAGAACATGGAATGGGGCAAGTAAAGAACCTTCCTTGGAAGTGAAAATACTTAGTGCTGTCCTGTTCTTCTGAAACCAGAACGCTCCTGCCACTCTGCCCTGCCCCCTCCCAGGATCAGGGGAAGCCCCAGTTCTCAATGACCAGCTACAGCACTTAGTACAAGACAAAAAACTCTTTTTGTGTCCTGGTTTCTTCATCTGAAAACAAAACTTGTAAATGTACTCTGCTTACTGCACAGGATTGCTGTGACGATCGTACTGTGCTTGTATGAAATTCACTGTTGACACATCACCCTCATTACGTCATTGATTTGCATCTTTACAAATCACCCTGTCAGACAGGTGAGGAAAGCATTTTGCGATTTTTTTATGAATGAGGAAACCAATCCTCCCCAGGGAGGAAGGATGTGCCCAGCAGCACAGCTAACATGTGGCAGAGTTGGGATTCTACCAAGCCCCCTATGCACTGAGCCACATGGCCCCAGCATGGCAAGAGGCTGGGTGACATAGCATGCTGCTATTAAGAAAAGCAGTATTTTTTTTTTCCAGGATGGCTATAGCTCAAATATTTGCCAGCAGTTATCACTGGTGAATTTGGGCATCCCCAGATCTCCAATCTTAAGTGGGTTATTTTGACCTGAGAAGTAGATGTGGAATCATTGGCCTCAGGGCTGAAACAGAGAGGGTAGAGTTAGGTAAGGAAGAAGATGAGTCAGTGGGTGTCTCTGACGCCACCGTCCACTGATGGCAATCACACTTTCTGCTGGTACGGAGGACTACGGAATTGTAGAAAAGTTCATAAATTCTAACAATCCTGTTCTATGGGTGAGAAAACTCATGTCCAGAAAGATAACAAAGACATGCGCAACGTCGCACAGCTCGTAAGCGTACAGCCGGTTCCAGCCCAGGTTTCCTAGCTCTAAGTCCACGGCTCCCTCCATGCTGCATTTCAGGCTATTCTTCATCTCATTCTGCCTGGCGCTTATCCCTCCATTTGTGTGTGCAACCGACAGTCAGCAGAGAGTGGTAATGGGGGCGATGTGCATAGTGGATCCTTTACCACAGATGTCCCCGGAATGAGGGGCAGTCCTCTTGGAGACTGAGGGTTCTGAAAACAGAACCTTCCCCCCACTCTGCCCTGTCACCTTCCAGAATCAAGGAACCCGGGTTCCAGCCCCAGTTCTCACCGACCAGCTACAGAACTTAGTACAAGATAACAAACCCTTGGTCAAATGCCAGGCCCAAGACGCAGCTTTGTCTCCATGATCCAGGATAATCCCTTGAATGTATGTGTTGGGCTTTGAGTTGGGGAAGAGGAAATATTACTCACGACTTGTCTCGCCTGCCGAGCCTTCTCGGGGGGCTTGCCTGTCTCCTTCTGGGGGACAGGGATTTTCCCCGGGTTCTCACTTGGGTCGGAGAGTGGGCACTTGCAGGTTTCAGGATCTGAAGGAGATGCGAGGAGTTAATCACCCTGGTTCCTAAAGGATCTCTACCCTCACGTCTTCTTCCAGTACCACATCCCAGCCCCCAGCTTGATCATGATGCCATGGTTTAGAAGGCATTGAGCAGGAAGACTTCTAAAACAAAGAGGCTGGAGACACACACATTCCTCTCTCAGCCTGTGCTGTCAAGGAGCAAGGGCACCACTTCCAAGACGGATATACAGTTGGTGACATTGTGCCCGCTGTGTGGTGTGGAGAAAGGAACAGAGCCCAGTGTCTCAGCCCCTGGGGCTGTGTTTGTTTGCTTGGCAATTCCTCTCCTGACGAAAACAAAGTCCCGCCTACATTGCCCCAGAAACCAGCTTGTTCTTCTGATGCGCCTATCCCACATCTAACAGTGGTTTTAACTGATCAGGAATTTCCACTCCAGGTCCTGCAGAGTGAAGATGACAAATCCACAGTGCTAAACCCAGCCGGGCCTGAAGTCAGCATAATCCTTTTCTCGTAGCAACTGCACAAGCCCTAGAGGGACATGGACAAGTGGGAATCACATCACTTTGTAGGCAAAACTGGGAGAGGGAAGGAGGACCTATGAGTATAGTCTGTATAAGCCAGCATATGAGGTTTTCCAGGTTTTAATACTGAAAATCTCACATCCTTGGGAGCCTGCAGTTCCAGGCAAACTGGAACAATTGGTTACTATTATACAGACAAAACAGAGCAAACTAGAGCTTCAATAGAAAATGACTGACACTTTAGATCTGATTTCACAGAAGGAATTGCAGGACAAGGCATTGTTTTAACTGTCACATCTAAATTGATTTTATTTGTTTGTTTGTTTGCAGTAGTAGGTGCAAAGAGAAACTTTAACCTCTAGGCATTTCTGACCATCCTAGAAAAATGAGGTCTGGAGCAAGAGACAGACAGAAAGGAATGGGAACAGAGCTCTCCTGCCTGGCTTGCTTGCCTTCCCAGCACCCACCTTCATTCTCATGTCTCTGGCGTATTTCTCCAGCTCCTTCCTTATGTCAGCCCTCAGCATCTTTGAGACGTTGAGGACCAGCTGCTTCCACTCAATGGGCTGGAAGCTATGAGGCTCATGGGGGACATACAGCCCAATCTTGACCTTCTTGACTGTGTGCAGGTATTTCTTGTAGGAGTCCTCAAAGTCAAAGATGAGGTCACTCAGAGTCCGAAAGGTCAGTGGCTTGTCCATCAGCTCAGCCCTTCGGCTCATGCCCAGTGAGCCATAGCGGCCATTGCAGTAAATCCCCAGCACAACATGATGAAAGTAGTTTCCTGAGAAGTAGGTTTTAAAGCTGATGGGGAACCTCTCGATGGAAGGCTGTCCATTGGTTAAGTAGCTTAGGCAATCTGAGTCAAGGAAGAGAAAGGAGGCCTTAAAAATTCAGAGCCTGGACACACAGGAAGGGAAAGTGTCTCATAGGGGTCAGTGAGTCCATGTCCCTGCCTCTGAGCAGGCTCACATCTAACTTTTCCAGACTAATCTTTTCATAAAGGAGTCCCTTGATATCTTTGACTATCTACTGTATGCTGTATACTCAAACCAAGTTAATAAGAGACAAAAAGAAAAACTTGTCATTTTCTTCAGTAATTAACAAACATGCAAAACAAAACAATAACAAGGCACTTTGTCCTCCGCTCCTGGGGCTCACACAGGCCGCACTCCGGCCTGGAACAGCCTGACAACTGTCCCTTTCCCCTTCCTGGGTGTCGCGTGTCATGCCTCCCTGACCTTCCTCTTCCTAGCTTATTCTCGCTTCGCCCCTCCCACCCCTGCCAAGTCAATCGGTAAAAGTCTTGGGACCTGGAGCAACTGGGAATGCAAAGAGTGGTGGCAGGGAAGTGTGGATGCAGGCAGGGAAGTGCAACCTGAGCTCTTCCAGGGAAGCGGGAGCAGCAGTGCCAAACCTGGGCTCATCTTTCCAAAACACACAAGAACACCCCCACACCGCATTTGGTGCCTGCCCATCCTGTATTGTAAATGTATCTTGTGAGGGCAGGGGTCGGGTCTCACATCCTGGCATTCCCTGGATACAGCACAGACCTGGTACACAGACAGCTTTGTTGAAAGCTTACAGATGGATGCCCACTGCCTTACACCTACAAGTGCCAGCACTCGGTGCAGAGCTAATCGAGGTGTCCTGAAGAGGACGCTGACACAACCCATCCATGGCCATGACGACAGCCTTGTCCTCTGCCCTCGGCTTAATCACGGATGGCTCCACTCTCTAAAAATGTTTGTACCTGCTTTCTCTTCACTTTATCATGTGATATCAACTGGCAGTTAGGGAGTGAAATCACATCCTTCTGAGTCCTCTTACGTAAATTCCTAGCTGCTTTCTGGGGCAAGTTCTCTGGGGCTGGAACAAGGGCATTCCTTAACTGCTTAAGTCAGTGTAACAAACACTTATCCTGAGTGTCTGCTGTGCCAGACAGCCTGCCAGGAACACAGCCGTTCTCCAGCGGTCTGGTGGGAGACAGGCTCAATGCACACAATGAAATCAGCATGGCAATTCCTCAAATGACTCAGCAGGATTACCCTAGGGCCCAGCAGTTCCACTTCTGGGTGCATACTCAGAAGAATTGAAAGCAGTGACTCCAACAGATATTTGTACATCCATGCTCTCAGCAGCATTATTAGCAATAGCCAAAAGGTGGAAACAACCCAAATATCCATCGATGGATAAATGGATGAGGAAAATGAGGTGTATACATGCAATAGAATTGAATCAGCCTCATAAGGGAAGGAAATTCTGCAACGTGCAGGATGAGCCTTGAAGATATGCTGAGTGAAATCAGCCAAATACAAAAGGACAAATATTGTACTCTACTCATCAGTACCTAGAGTAGCAAGTGCATGGAGACAGAAAGTAGAAGGGTGGTGGGCAGGGGCTGGAGGGAGGAAATGGGGAGTACCGTTTAATGGGTATGGGGTTTCATTTCTGGGGATGAATGGTGGTCTTTTTTTTTTTTTTTGAGACAGACGCTGTTGCCCAGGCTAGAGTGCAGTGGCGTGATCTCGGCTCACTGCAGCCTCTGCCTCTCGAGTTCAAGCGATTCTCCTGCCTCAGCTTCCTGAGTAGCTGGGACTACAGGTGCCCAACACCACACCTGGCTACTTTTTGTATTTTTAGTAGAGATGGGGTTTCACAATGTTGGCCAGGCTGGTCTTGAACTCCTGACCTCAGGTGATCTGCCCTCCTCAGCCTCCCAAACTGTTCGGATTACAGGCATGAGCTGCCCTGCCTGACCGGAATGATGGTCATTTTGCAGAGCATTATGAATGTACTTAATGTCACTGAACTGTGCATTTAAAAATGGTTAAAATGGCAAATTACGTTATAAATATTTTACCATAATAAAAACCAAAACACAATGTGATGTGTGCTATAAGAAAGGCAAGCCCAGCAATCTCTGGGTAGACAGAGGAGGGGCCTCACAGGGTAATACTGGCATTTGTCTTACAGAAGTAGAGTCAGCCAGGTGGAGAAGTGGGGAGGAGGCAAGAGGGAGCATCAGGCCCTCATGTCACGAGTCACTGATCTCAAGGATTTGTCCTATCATAACATTGACTGGTAAAGCCTTGGGACCTGGAGCAATTGCGAATGGAGAGGGAGGGAAGGTAGTATAGATGCCAGCAGGGGAGTAACCTGAGCTTTTCCAGGGAAGCAGGAGTGGTAGCGCCAAGCCAGGGATCATCTTTCCAGCATCCAGCCCCCAGGACTATTCCTCATCTGCCTCTCACACTGAACCTGTTACTTTAATAAACCCTAGTGCTTTAGTATCGCAAGCAAGCCCCACCATGGCCAGTGAGGCCCCCCAAAATACCTGCCATCTTTCACAAGATAATCTGGATGCAAAGATCTACCTCTCTAGCAGGCATGTAAAAGCATGGGCATGCCCTCAAACAAAATGAAAAGAAGTGGCTCAGCACTAATGAATCCTGAACTCTGGGCTAAAGTCAGAAACGAGAAAGCAAGGAAGGACAGGCCGATGGACACAGGCATCAATGCAGCCAAGCCAACCAGTTTCAAAGTCGTGGAGCCAAGACCCGAAGAAGGCCTGTGGGAAACACAGATGGATGACCCTGTTCATAACCTTCACTAGCCCCGAGTGGAAAGCAGGACCCAGGGATGCTGACCAGAGCAAAGAGAAAAGACAAAGATGCTATAACTTTCAGAATTCACGTCTGTTTGGGAGGCCGAGGGGGACAGATCACCTGAGGTCAAGAGTTTGAGATCAGCCTGGCCAACATGGTGAAACCTCATCTCTACTAAAAATACAAAAAATTAGCCAGGTGTGGTGGTGAACGCTTGTAATTCCAACTACTCCAGAGGCTGAGGCAGGAGAATCACTGGAATCCAGGAGGCAGAGATTGCAGTGAGCTGAAATCATGCCACTGCACTCCAGCCTGGATTACAGAGCCAGACTCTGTCTCAAAAAAAGAATTTGGGTCTGTGTTTCCTGTCTGTGTGCAAGAGTCAAATTTCTCTGAGTTCAGCAGTGTGAACTAAGGCTCTCCACCTTTCCCACACTTTTCTGAAATGTCAGATGAATAAGAACAAAGGAAACCACGCTCACGGTCTCTGATTTGGACAGGCTCACAGGCTGTTCCTAGGTCCATCCCCACAATTCCAGTAGGTTGTAGGTGATTCCAATGGCATAGATGCTAGGATGTATAAAATTGTGCAGGGATGAAACGATTGTGTAAGGGAGGTGGTCATTTCGATGACCTAAAAACAGAAGCACTCAGACACCCCTCAACAAAGAGTCTGAAGTTAACTTGTCCACCCCATGAAGGGCCTGGGCTTGTGTTCTCCTTCATTGATCTCTTCCACCAGCAATTCCCCAGCCAATCATCTGCCCCCATTAAACTTGCAGGAGGCTTCGCTCAACAGCTGTGGCTGACTCCCGCCACTAAAGAGTTGGGGCCCTGAGCCATCTGCTGCCCCAACCCCCATTCCCAGCCTCCTGCTGGGTTCCCCAAGCACACATTTCATCTCCTTGGTGGGAAACAGGGAGGAGGATGACAGGAGGGTTGGAAAGGGGTCTCAGTAAGGTTCAAGTTTCCATTTTTAAAATGTCAGCCAAGGCACCTGTGGTCAATCTTGTTTCAGATCAGGCCTGCAAGTGTTCCCCAGACTCCAGAGTGGCACAGAGATTCCCCTTCCCACAAAAATCACCAGGAGACCCAGAAAACAGACTAGATCAATCCGCCTGTCCCCAGCACGATTCGGAGCCACGCATCCTTCCACTGGCCTCTCCATCTCCTTTCTCTCCTGGTTTTCCTTCTAACTCTCTGACCTTCCTTCTCAAGTCTCTTTCTTGGCCTCTTTGTACCCAACTATACCAAAAAATATTGATTTCATCTTTGACCTTTTTCTCTTCTCACTTCTTGAACAGTAAGCATAACCTCCTAATCACAGCTCCTAAATTCGCATTTCCAGTGCAGATTCCCCTGTCAGCTCCACACTGCAAATACCTCATCCCGACATCCCACAAGGAAATTTAACGTGTCCGAATCTGAGCACGTCTCACCCTAAATCTGACCCTCCCCTTGAAGTCCTTCCCTTGGACTGTGGCATTATCACACAAGCCAGAAATGTGGAGTCACTGCCTTTCTCCAATAACTCCGCCCCTCTAAGTAGTCCCCAAGTGGTGGTGACGATAGATGCCACCATCGCTTCCCTCCTCCTTTACTGCCACTGCCTTAGTCCAGGTTTGCAGTGACGCAGCTCATTTCTCTGCCACTCTTATTCCTCCAGCTTATCCTGCAGTCTATTGCCCAATTGAGAAACCTGTAGTCATTGGCTCCTTCCTCAACTCCTGCATCTAGTTGGCCTGCAAGTCCTATAAATTCTGTCTCCTAGATCGCTCTTAAAACAATTCTCTGAAATCCATTCCCATGCCCAGGGCCATGAGTCCAGCGTCACCATTCCCTCATGTAACAGCTCCCAATGGGCTTTGCTGATCCAGCCCAGCCTTCCCCACTCTGTCCTTCAGCCTCTCCTTTGGGGAACCACCTCTCTAGAGCACACACCTGAGCACACCACACCTCTGCTTCAGAGCTTTCATCTGGGTTGCCCATTGCCTTTTGGAAAAAAGTCATTTCTCAGCACAACACTCACGGACCTAACTAGTCTTGCCTGGAATCGCCTCTCAAGCGCCTGTATTGCAGTGTTTCCTTTTCCACTGTCCCTTCCAGCCATTCATCCCGTAGGACTTGGGAGTGTCTTTGCTCTTCTATCTGATCATGTTCAATTGCCATCACCACCAATATGCTGATGCCATCACAGTTTCCCTGAACCATATTGTTCTCAGGCTTAAGAGCCAGGAGTTTGGTGGAAAATGGAACAGAAAGTGTAGGAGAAGCTAGACCCTTGTTTTAGCAGTAGGCTCTGTCAGGTCAGGATACACCACCACTGCTTGGTCTCCTCCACACGCCACTCTTAGAATTTTCCCTGGCAGGCCGGGCACGATGGCTCCTGCCTGTAATCTCAGCACTTTGGGAGGCTCAGGCGGGCAGATCGCTTGAGCTCAGGAGTTTGAGACCAGCCTGGATAACATGGTGAAACCCTGTCTCTACCAAAAATACAAAACAAAACAAAAAAATTAGCCAGGCATGGTGGCATGCGCCTGTAGTCCCAACTACTCAGGAGGTTGAGGTCAGAGGATCACTTGATCCTGGGAGGCAGGGGTTGCAGCGAGCTGAGATCACGTCACTGAATTTTCAAAGAATTTCCCTGGAGATGGGTTTGGATACCAGCACTCTTGGCTCTGGTTGCATTTCCCCTTGAGTGTCTTTCCTGCTGCAATGTCATATTAATGCAAAGAACAGCCGCATACACTCTCTCTAGTCCCTCCAAGTTAGAATTCTCACAGTGAATCTGCAAGGTCACTGGCCTGAGAGCCTGGCCTGATGGGTGCCGCAGCTCACAGGTTAAACTAATACTGGTCCAAGAAGCCAAGCATTGATTTGGTTCAATTCTACATGGTGAAAGTTAAAGACATGAACCAGAGGAGTTTGACACTTTCTGCAAAGGAGATAATGGGCATCATCTCTGAATTTACAATGTGAAAGGCACAGCCAGCGCCACTGTGAAGCCACCATTTATGGAGGAAACTTAAGCATACATAACTTAAAGGATACATGCCCAGGATGACAGCTTCAAGGCATTTGATAGGCAAGGACTCTCGGGTCATTTCTTTTGCTGTTTCCATTAACCTGTAGGATAGAGCACAGCAGAGGATCTCAGAACCTATTTAATTATACACTCGGTCAGTCTGTCAATCCTTCAGCATGCCTATCCCCACACCAGGAACCACGCAGGACCACAGAGGGAAAAGGGACAACTCACCTCACAGAAGGCACCAGAGCATAAGAGTTAATTCCTGGGGTTAATGCCAGTATTCCATAGCACCCTCCTGCTGTAACACCAGGACAGGGGGCACTACCATGGAACAAATAGAGGAGGCCTCATGAAGCAGAGTTTACAAGCCTCCTCCATCCTGGGAGTTAGATTTCACCATTGAACTCAGCTAAAAGAGCGGCTGGTCCTCAGTCCCACCTCCAACCTAGCCCTGGGGCACCCTCCACCTCCACCCCTGACAGACGAGGCTATCTGAGCCCTGGGCTACCGGAATAGAGGTTGGGAGAGGGAGCTGGCGGCTTGAGGGTAGGAGAGATATATGGCCACAGATCATGCACCACTTACCCACTCAGCGGTCTCATTTTCCTAATTTCAAAGAACTGGGTCCCTGTGTGATTGTATCTGTGTAAAGTATGTAAAGAGAAAGTGACAGAAAACTCCAAGGTCCCAGTAATGCAGCAGAGAAAGCTATACATTCTGATTTCTCAATGAGACAAGGATGTGAGGGCTTTTCAGAAGTCGCCAGCACCTGGAAGGTAGCCAGTAGCCTCTAACTCCTCACTATCCTGCCCTGAAAATCCAATTTCTAACAGGCTGCAAAGTATCATGGTCCTTTATAACAGCTCTTTTCAATTTGCTCTGTATTCTGGGTAGTTGAATATTTGTCTTAATTCACCTAGTAGACTACAAGCTCTTTGAGAGTTGGTACTATTCTTTTTTTTTTTTTTTTTTTTAATTTTTTTAAACATAGTCTTGCTATGTTGCCCAGGCTGGTCCTGAACTCCTGGGCTCAAGTGATTTTCCTGCCTCAGCTTCCCAAGTAGCTGGGACCTCAGGCATGCACCACCATACCTAGCTGGAACTATTTTTTCATTATCTTTATATCACCCATAAAACCTGGCAGAAGGCCGGGCGCAGTGACTCATGCCTGTAATCCCAGCACTTTGGAAGGCTGAGGTGGGTGGATCACCTGGGGTCAGGAGTTCAATACCAGTCTAGCCAACATGGTGAAAATCAACCTCTACTAAAAATACTAAAATTAGCCAGGTGTAGTAGCACGGGCCTGTAATCCCAGCTACTCAGGAGGGTGAGGCAGGAAAATCACTTGAACCCAGGAAGCAGAGGTTGCAGTGAGCTGAGATCATGCCACTGCACTCCAGCCTGAGCAACAGAGCAAGATTCATTCTCAAAAAAAAAAAAAAAAAAAACTCCTGGCAGAAACCCAACATATGCAAGTTTGGCAAATATTATTAAATGAATGAGAAATACATGGATGGATGGATATGTGGATGGATGGAAAGGTGGATGGATGAATGAGTGGATGGATGAAATGGAAGGGTGGAGATGGACGGAAGCAAGGATGAAAGGGCAGATGGATAGCAGTAGGGTTTTTCAGCAGCGCACAGACTCTGCAGCAGGTCTTACTGTGGAGATGCCACTTTTTTTTCATGCCTGTGCTGGTACTTGGCATTGATTACTAAATCTGAGAAGCTGCACCATTATTCACCATCTGGGATTTAGCTGACTGCCCAGAGGTCTCAGGAACTGGCAAGCTTGCCCCACGTTGTTCTGAAGGAGATGAGACGTTCACTGACGCGGTGCTCTCCGACTGGGTTTTGACTTTTCTGAGCCTAATGAGAAGTTGCTTTGTAGGTTTTGCTCTTCAAACAAAATCCTATGGGAAAAGTGCACATTGGGAACGTGCTAATGAAGCCTGAACTTCTATACCCAGAGCTGCTGCAGGCCAAGTGAGTGTGGGAGAGTCAATGGGTGCCCCACAGTGACAGTGGCACCTAGAGGCACCTTGCACCCTCCTGAGAAGGGCTGGGATTCCTCTCCTGGCACAGCCGTGCTTGGTTACTCAAACACGGGCACACATAACCCCCTGGAGAGCTCGGTATAAGCAGATTCTGGGCTCCAGCCCTGGAGAGCCTGATTTGAGGCCATCATTCATAACCCCGGATGCCACTCAGAGTCACCTCACCTCAGATGACTGAACTGGCAGCTCCAGGGTGAGGGCTGGGGGGCCTCTCAAGATCACGGGTTTGAGAGTTACTGACCTGGGCCATAAGAATAACAACTAACCACACAGGCTTGCCCAGTTTTTAAAACATGCAACACACAAAATCCTAGAGGTAAAAGAGAAAAACGAAGGGCTAAATATTCTTATTGTGAAGTGCTTTCTTTACCTCACCAAACATTGTATTCAAGCAAGGAGGTTCCTGGTACATGAAGTAGAATTCAGTGGGCAAAAAGTCAGTTCTATGCCCAACTTTCCCTCGCTTGCATACCTCATTAATACATCTAGTACATCAAGTGAGACAAACACATAGCAAAATAATAAAAACAATTGTACCTGAACGTCTTTTTTCAGCTCCTTAGAGTTAATCATTGAGCCCCTGAAAGTGGGCTGGGGAGAAGTCTGCTCTATACAAGCCCTGGGGGGAGATCTCACTAAGCCCGAGTTTGCTGAGTTTGCTGTTAAAAGGCTTCTCCCCCAACCAGCATGCCAGCACTCCTGTTGGTTGTTGCTCGAGGATATCTGAGGGGAAGGCAGGAGTCGTCCTTTCCTATCCCCACTGCCAGCTGAGCACACCCACAGTCAGGACTGACGCCAAGCAGTCCCCATCCCCTGCCACCTGTCAACTGTGCCCAGGACAAAGCAGTAGGGAGTCCCAAGGAACTAAATAAAAGTCAGGTCAGAAGGTGGAAGGGTTAATGCCCTGCCTTCCTCATGCAATGGCTCTAGGGGGCAGGTGGCCGGGAGCATGTCCCCGCAGCCTGCTTGTGCTTCCCTTCTGTGGCCCTCTGCAGTCACTGATGCTGTCGGTCACTGACCTTCGCAGTCATAATGGGTCAGAGAAGAGAAAAATGGAAAAGCAGATCCTTCAGGGCAACCATGAAAATGTAGCTGAGAATGTGCTGTCAGGTTTACAGCAGGTGAGCAAATGATATGTAAAGCACATGCAAATTTCTTCCATCAATGCTTTCCCAGCCAGGCTAATTATCTTAACTCTCAGCCAGATGATCCTCATGAAGACCATGTCCTAGATAGAAGTGGAGAGCCTTAAAGCCTATAATCAGTTGACTTTAAGTTAAAAAAAAAAAAAAGTGAGGAGGCATTCTAGTTGCTGTCACCTTCTAGAAGAGTCTATGAGGAGTCAGTCACATCCAGAAAGGGCCAGTTCTTGGGGTCCAGGTCTGCTCTGGCAAGAGTTTGTGCCTCAGGACCATGTGGAATATCCCCATGCAAGTCCTAGAGTGAGGATCAGCACAAACACCAGATAGCCTTCCAAGGGCTAGGGCTGCCAGCCTCTGTCTTGGAGATTAGGGCTACCTCTTCCTTCTGATATTGCCTTAGGGTTTTACTGGGAAGATGCCATGTTGGGGAGCTGATGATCGTGAAGTGAAAGCAGAGAAGCCAGTCAAGTAATCTCCCTACCCAAATGAGCAGACATTGCTGTTTTCCAATCTAGTAATACCAAGCCCTGTGGGGGAGGTGCTAATGTTTTGTCCCAGCAGGGAAGACACAAAAATCCAGCAGAAAGATTCTTGCTATAACACAGAGCAGAGGGGCTTTGCTGGGATTCGTGGAACATGTGTGCAGTGCCCTCTGAAATCCTTTCTGCTTCAGGGCTGGGTATGGACAGACAAACAGAAAGCTGGTCCACGTGCCTGAAACCTTGCAGAACAGGCTGTGTTATACATTTACGGAGGAAGGACAGAGGTCCACAGAAGCTTGACCTCTGGACAATGTGCTGGGGTTCAGCTTCCCATCTGACTCCTCTCCATATAAAATACCAGAAGGGGCAGGTGGACCATCCACTCCTGCCCCTCTGCCCCTATAGTGTTGTTCGTGGGAGTTCTCAGAACTGATCTAATCCTGACTGCAAACACCTGCGGGTGTGGAGGAGCAACGTACCAAACCAGCTGAACTGACACTGAAGCCAGTGAGTTTCTTAGCTCTGCCTCAAGCTCGAGTTGGGGGAGAGGGCCCCCAATCCCAGAACCCCAAACATTCATGTAGAACCGAGCAGCTCACCAGCCTGGCTCACCTGGGGGAACAAAGGCAACACCAGGTGGGCCTACTGTAGATCATGAGCAGTCAGGGATGAGGGCAAAACAAAGAGAAAAGGAGTGAGAGAGAAGGAGGGAAGAAGGCAACAGGCAGGGGAGGGCTGGGTGTGGGGGCTTAGGCCTGTAATCCCAGCACTTCAGAAGCTGAGGTGGGCGGATCACTTGAGGTCAGTTCGAGACCAGCCTGACCAACATAGTGGAGACTCTGTCTCACTAAAAACAAGAATTAGTCGGGTGTAGCAGCGGGCGCCTGTAATCCCAGCTACTCGGGAGGTTGAGGCGGGAGAAGTGCTTGTACCCAGGAGGTGGAGGTTGCAGTGAGTCGAGAGTACACCAACACACTCCAGCCTGGGTGACAGAGCAAGTCTTCATCTCAAAAAAAAAAAAAAAAGAAAGAAAGAAAGAAAGACAGTGGAGGAGAACAGGACGAGGAGAACAAAGATGACCAAGAGGAAGTGGAGAAAGAGGAGAAGATAGAAGGAAGGGGGGTGCTCAGGGGAAAAAGGACAGGGACAGGGAAGAGGAGGGAGAAAGAGAAGCTGGAGGGGCTCAAGGTGGACCAGCCTGCCCCACTGGATCACTGCAATGACATCGTCCATGCACACTCTTTCTAGACCCCCACCTGGAGCATCCTCCATGCCTTGCCTCACCAACCTTAGAGAGATTTTGATGACCAGCTGGGGACAGATCAGCCACCAGGCTTGTGATCACCATGCCCGTCCCCTGGCTGGGTGTGCTCACACCTTGGTTGGAAGGATACTGTAGTGTTTTCATGTAATTCTGGATCGCCTGGAGCCAGTCTGGGATCGTCATTGACAGCCTGTAGTTTGGGACCTGGGGTATTGAAGGCTGCAGAGAAAGAGAGAAGAGGAAGTGTTTATTAAGGAGGTGCTCTGGGGCCCAGCTTCTGGGGG